AATTGGAAACTGGTCAGTAACTCGTTTGAAGAGTTCTGTTAATTTTTGTAGACAAACTAGTAATTTATAAAAGACAACTTCATTAAACTTAGCGACAACACTGAAATCTAAGAGCACAAAATCATGAACGATATTTTTTGCTCAAATACATTAGATATTCATTTTGTGTTTCAGAGTCATCACAAAACCGTATAAATCCTTAACACCAATTTTTCGAAGATTACATCTACTCGATGCTCACTTAATCAGTTCAGCGAAATGGTTATAAATACTCTGATTAGTTCGAAATTATGCATACAACTCACATAGTTCATCATTTTAGCTGTGTTAGTCTATACGATAAGTAGAGTCTTAGCGATAATGGCAATAGGGACATAAGAAAGCTACTTAAGGTTGTTTTAAGTATGCTATGAAAACTAGTAAGCATTTTGTACTGCAAAACGTTTTACATTACATTTAGTTTCCGTATACACATAGGAAAAAGAAGAACACCATGAGGAACTGAAACGGCAGTTGGTTAATCTTAATCAAGAAAAGGAGAAAAGTATTTTGAAGCAAATCCAGCTGACTAATAATATAAATGATGTGACGATACAACTAGAATACTCACGACAAGAAATCGGACAGCAAAAGTTAAGGGAAAAGCTAATTCAAGAACAAAATCAAAGACTGGAAAATGAAAAAACCGAGCTACAGAAGCAAAATGAAAGTATTACAGATGAACTGTTGTCTTTGAAAGAAAGGTTGAATCAGCAAGCTGATGAAATAAAACAGAAGCAAGATGAAGTTGAAAGTTTAAAAGGGATAATTGATCTTAAAAATATTGAGAGCTCCAAAAGCAGAAGGAAGGTGGTAAGTCCTAATTAAATATAAGTACAAACATCAAGGATAAAAAACTAAATGAATCCATGAATCTTATACAAAAGCTTAGAGAACAGACCAAGGAACTGAGTCAAGAAAAGGTATTTTATTTCACATTAAAGCTATAGCTATTTAATGTGTATTATGGGCTGATTATAAGGCATAACATAAAACAATTCGAAACACCAACATATATTTGATAAAAGATTATATTATTCACTTTAGATTAAGATACAAATATTGATAACCATGAATAGAACTAAGGAAAACATAATGTTTGATGATTTTCAAGTTCTTTCAGTGTCACAAAACGGACGCTGCAGTTTCTGCAGGAAAGAAATGCATTACGGTGTTTTTTAATACAGTGTTGTTTTAGTGTAGAATGCTGAGCTGCTCTGTAGGTGCATAGAGTACAGGAAAATGGTTTTTCTCCAGTATGCTTCCGGAAATGAGTTTTTAAATGACTTTTCTCAACGGTTTGGTAAGAACAGATTGAGCATTTAAATGGTTTGTTTTTAGTATGAGTCGACATTATATGTTTCTGTAAATGTACTTTTTGTGAGAACTCTCTTTTGCAGTATTCACAGATGAAATTCGACCGTGACTTCCGTTCGCCACAAGCAAGGGGTGTTTGTGTACAGTAAGTTATTTCATTACACAGTGAAGTCGTATCGGGGTTTGAAGTATTCGAGACCTTCAAAGAATTATCTCTGAGTTCGGATTCTGCCTCGCCATCGGAGTCACGAGAAAACAAAATTGGACATGAAGACATTTGAGTACAGGGAGAACTTCCATCCACAAGACAGCATGTTTTACGAACAACCGAAGGAATAGAGCTGCTAGGACCCACTGAACTGTAGTTTGTTGAGCAAGAACTTAATACTGACGGCACTTGACTCACCGACTGACAGGGCACCGACTTTCCATCGTTCGAATTAATCGAGTTATGGCTACTTTTATCTTCAGTGACGATGAAGGATGAACTTGTTGTGTCTGAAACTGATATCACTTCTTGTAGGAAGCTATTACTGTCGTTAACCATGCTTGATGGTCTATGTTTGATTATAGATATTCTATGTGCACATTCAACATGCGCAATAAGATCTAATGGCGAGATATAACATTCATCACAATGAGAACATTCCAAAAATAGCGGATTGCCAAAACTTAGTCTGGAACAACCATCTGACTTATGTTGTATAAATTGAGTAATTGCGCATAAACGAAAAATTCTAGCACACGTACCACAGAATAAGGAGTCAAACATATTCTCGACTGAAATGAGTATGTGATTAGAAATAACGAGACGGTTTATTTTCTACAATCTTTTCTAGTCAATCACACTGTATTTACACTTTAGACCATAAAAAACACACTGAATGTTAAATAATTCCATTGATTTTGGTTGTATGTGCACAATACTAGACGAAAAGTTTCCAATAGAAAACAAAGTAATAATGCACACTAAAAAACAAGGTCATATGAAAATAACCTGCAAGTATTGATATTATTACCAAAAATTTTCATTTAATGATTTCTAATTCAACTTAATAGTAACGATAAATTTATGCAGCACCTCATCTCTACATGCTACAAATAGACTGTCACAAAATAAAGTGCGAATATTAGTATATTGGGTAAATAATTAATGTTGTCACTCACATCAATTCTGGCATACAAGAGTACGTCATTCTACTTAATCAAACGATGAACATCCGTAGATGAGTATCTAGTTATGGATTACCTTTCCTATCCAAAATAACTCAAATTTTCAATAAAAATGTTCAGAACCCTTTTTAATCTATCGATAGTTGGAAAGGATTTATTCCATTAAAAAACCACAATAAATTTAAACTCATATACTAGAATGGAACATTAGTCGAAAAGAACCTTCAAGAAAACTGATATACTTGATCGATATGTATAGGCTATCTTATGAATGTACTCATCATTACAACCTTTGGTGATAGGCTGTTGAATATGAGCAATAAATCTACAAGTTTAACCGTTAGTTTCAATTATAGAAAATCTTTCATCCAGAATTTTAAGGAGTCCAACTATGACTTATGTACTAAATTATAATTTCGTAAGTACGAGTTGGGGGTGAGATAAATGAAAATTCCAAACCCCTATGGGCTATATTAGTCATATATATTGTTATTAATGTATTTTGAAAAGATTTCTAGCATTTATTAAATAGAGGAAACCAAAAAAAGGAACCAGTCCAATACTAACACAATAACTATAGAGTGTATTACTAATAATTGACAACACAAGCATGCTACTTCTGCTTGCTGAGTTTGTCTGCTCAACTAAACTCGAACTAGAAATACAACAGATAGATGTATCAGTCAACTCACAACAAAATAAATGATTTCCTGTAAGAGAGTCAATAACAAAAAAGAACATTGTGTTAAACTTACGCGAAACGATAAAAGAATATTCACAATATCAAGAACTTGTGTGAGATTATCGGTTTTGAAGAATTATTTGCTTCTCACCTGAATACATTTTAGTAGGTTTTACTGCGTTTTGTAAAATACTCTCAACGTTATATTGACATATTAGACTAAGTTGATAGCTAGAGCATTTTTAACTTCTCACTACAGTGAAAAGGATTTATAAAATTAAGTCTCGTTAATGAGGAAAATGTCGAGTGTATAATAAAAACCATGTCTGACAGAATTTGTTGATCTTACCAATATTCGTGGAAACACTAACTTACGGAACTAAATGAGCAGGAGTTTAGCTACGTAAGCATAGAAATCCATCATAAGAAATGGTTTGAAAGCTAAGTCCGTCAAAGTCTCGCGGATTACGTGATTCCAACAAATTATAGATATAAATATCCATTAAAAACGAACAACTGCGCTGTAAAAATATGTTCATAGTAAATCAGTCTTTCCGTTAAGCAATATATTTGTTTGATCAAAACGGTTTTATATACTGTAGAAGGAAATTCTAAAGAAACACATGATAAAAGAGCAAGAACTTAAGAAACTAGAAGTAAAGGCAATAAATCAAGTATGCAACGTATTACTTAAGTTAATACCAACATTCAGGAGAAAGAATTGATAGAAGCAAATGATGAAAAACAAAGGCTTTATGAAGAACTAAAGAGAATGAAGCAGGATCAAATCGAACGAGAAACGATCTTAGCAGAGAATAATAGGGAACTATTAAAACTTCGATCAATAGAAAAGGAATATCAGGAATTCCAACACCAAATTTATGCAAACTCTCCCCCTGTCAGCACTCAGCTCCCGAAGGAAATTCACGAAAAGGTGACTCAGACTCCCAAATCACCAGCGTTATCCTTGAAACTAGATAATTTGGTAAGGAGAACTTTTGTTCAGTTTAAAACTTCACCTCAGAATATGACCGAAACGCCTACTAAAACCCCGAAGAGTATTTTGAAGCAACCAGGTTCAGCTACCAAACGCAGGAGAGTGTTTTTCGCTTCCCCTGATTATGAAAGCATGGTGAACAACGAGGAAGAGCCAGGCTATCAGAAACAAGAATTTGAATTTCCATTATTTAGGAAAGTGAGCCCGTCCACAATGAATACACCTAAAATCCAAAACCTTCAAACACTTGACAAAGTAAGTTGGGTGAGTACTTAAGAATTCCAATATATGGAATTACCTACAGTTATTTTAATGACATATATAGTAGCAAACATTTCAAGATTGTCTAAATGACCGATAAGGGATGACAAAGTTGCTTAAGCCTTGTAAAGCTTAGTAAAAAATAATTTACAAAGTTGAGTAGGGGGAAATCTTAAGTATACTAGGAAAACGTGACAAGTAATTCAGTATATTTAGTTGGAGACCGCAATGCAATAAGCAGACAACAGTTGGCATAAATAATTGTCGTAAACAAAGAGTAAAGTGGTAACAATGTCGATTAATTAACATGCAGATATGTACAGGTAATTCAACTAATAATTGATATACAATTGCAAATACAGAAAACCTTACAAAACAAGTAAACATTGGAATCTTTTTTAGGTGACTAATATTCGGAAAACACCACGGAAAACTGGCCGCCAAATCACAGAAGAATGTTACAAGATGGATACCGAAAAATCTTGGTTTGACTGTGAACAAATCTTCGGTTACGGGGCAGAAGATTAATGGTGAAGTCGTTAAAATAAATACTCTTTATTATTAAGTACACATGTACAACGTTATCATAAGTTTGTTAATAAAAAATTATACATATATATAGGTTATTGTTACGTTAAGTGAATATCAAACCATATGGGAGCATGATCACTAACAAGACCATTTGCACCACTTCTTGTTTCTTCCGGAATAAAAGGATGTCTAAGCCCTTTTAATATGACACCAGAATCACCAGTCCAACGAATAGTGGATTCAGAAGTCAAAGAGAGGTTAGCAGAAAGCCATGCATTGTCATATGCTCTCAAATGGTTAGATCCGGATTTACAATGATTCGCAGTAGTTTGCTGTTCACCTTTGAGTACTGGCCATAAACCATGTTGATGCAATACTCGATAAGCTTTTAAATAAACAAAAAGGGATAATCAGCATAACGATGCATGAAATAAATCAGATCTAAATGAACAGTGATGAGAGCTTCAATTAAAATTATAGAAATTATTTACGTTATGTGCCAAGTGACGTCTAACATCTGTTTGATTTACTTTCAAGCGAAAGCAAATAATGAACCTATAACTATACTAAATAAAAATCATAACGGTTAAAAAGTATTTAAGTGCTTGCATATAACTAGCATAAAATATTTATTGATCCCATTACGTTTATTTACTTAGAAAATTACTAAAGTATTACCTCTAATAATGTAGGAAGAATGAATCGATGAAAGTTTGAAAAATGCTTTCATCATAATACTAGTCAATGAAAAGAATATATATATATATAACGTGGTTGTGATAAACACTGTGCTCTTTCTCTAACATAATGATTATTGCTAGCACGAATTCAACACCACTGTGGTTTACTTTCGACACTAAAACCATATGGTCTTTTCTTGCAAATATGGTTCATTTGTAAATACAACGGAACCGAAATTGCTAGTTAAAGTAGGTATTATGAAATAAACTTTGATTTGTTACTGGGATTATTCAGATACAGGATCATGTAATGATGAATATTATCAGATTCTCTTAAAAGAGTTCTTGTGGTTTCATTCCTGTCAAAACTTTCTTTATCGTAAATAATGTAGCTTACAAGTCAGTCGTGAGAGCTTTAAAACTCAAAGGGCATAAGTCATTCAGCAGCGAATTTTTTAGACAACATCTATAATAACATTAAGTTCGAAAACTGTAGAAGCCATCCATTTTCCTTTATTTTCGTATCTTTCCAAGTTTGCTAATAATGAGTGCTATTTACCTATTTATTTGAACACATAAGTATTGGTACAAACGGGCACCAGATATATATGCACCACACAATAACAATGAGAATGGGAAGAGAAAACCAATGTAACGTGAGTATAAGAGAGAAGAAAAAGGGACAATAACGACCACAGATTAGTGTATAGAAGTGTGATAATAATGATAATATTAATGGGTGTAACAAAAGTGTACAACCAGAAGAATTATTTCAGTTAAGGAAGTTATGACCACCCTTTATGAAGAAAGTTACAGCAGGATCGCCACTGGCTTCTATTCTGGGCCATATTTGATAACGTTTCTAGCCACTGTGTTGCACAATCCCTTTGCAGCTTTCTTTCATACCACGACACCACTTCATACACTGACCACATCTCCGCTTTTTCCAACCAGCCCCATTGTCGGCAAATAATGCACGACGAGGAATTCACTGTGACAAAATTCGTAGAACATATCCAGGCCACCAAGGTCGATGTTTCAAGGTGGTGACATCAATTGGATTATCGTCTCTGAACCCGAACATACGATGCCGAACCTCAGAATTGCTAACATGGTGTTGCCACTGGATGTCAGCAATCCTTCGGAGACAGCGATGATCAAACACAGAGAGTCGTTTGACATCCTCAATAGACAATCCCAGAGAACAGTCCTGTCCAACGAACCGAAGACAACCTTGATGTCAAGAAACACTGCGATTTTTAGCCTGTGATAAGTATTACGGTGTTTTAACATTCGGCAGAGGGTGAAGATATGATCAATACATCCTCAACCAGAACGAAAACCAGCCTGCTCCCCGCGAGTCAATCTTTCTCTGGTTTTAAACAACCTACGAAGTATGACAGAAGCCAACAGTTTGGATGCAATCAAAAGTAGACTTATCCTCCGATAGTTGTTACAGAAACGACATGAACCCTTTTTAAAGATAAAGACAATTATCGACTCGTTCCATGAAGTTGGAACACTCTTTAGCTCCTAGACCTTTGTAAACAACGTTGTCAGCTCCTTCACCAGATAGTCACCACCATCTTTAAAAACAGCCCGAGGTAAGTCATCTGGACTTAGTGATTTGCAGCCCTTCAAGATTTGGAGTTCCTTGCGGACTTCCACCTCATTTGGTGGATCAGTCGTCACAGGCCATGGAGGGTAGAACAGTCTGATCGATGTTTCCGGGGCATCAGGCCAGTTGAACTGCCCTTCGAAGAACTCTGCCCACCGTCCAAGACATCTGTGGATGTTAGTGATTGGCATCCCGCCATCCTCACAGATTGTTTCACTCGCACCAGTGGCTCGGATGAGTTGAAAGAGCTCCCAGCAGTTACAGGATGCAACTGCTGCTCCCATCTCATTAGCACGCTCCGACCACCAGGCTTCTCGGTCCTTACGCAAGATTTGCCCAATTTCGTTGCGTAACAGCCTTCGTTTGTGGTCGAACTCACAGTCACCCGGAGTAGACCGACAGGCCTCGATGAGTTGTAAGGAGCCTGAAGAAACCCACCGCTTATAAGCGGGACGTTTCGCGAAGCCGCAAGTGGCTTTACTCGCCATTCTCATAGCGTCATGCAGTCGCAACCAATGCTCATCTATACTTTTCGATGGGATGGTAGCTAGCCTAAAATCTAGCTCGGTTCGACACTTAGCTGCAATAAGAGTTGCAACCAATTTACTGACGTCAATTCGTTGGCCATTTAAAAGTAAGGTAAGATTGGTGCAGACCAGGGCATGATCGGGGTACTCCAAAAGGAGCGGCAGTCTTGTATACAACCACGCCAGCGGTAGCTGATCGCGATGTAATCAATCTGAGTCCAGGCTTGAGATGCAGAGGGAGGATGGCACATCGACGATGACTGTATCGGAAGTTAGTGCTAGCCAGAAACAGGTTGTAGTCTGTGCACAGTTGCGGTAGACGGTCCCCGTTATCTATCCTGCGACCAACAAGTTCCCATCGGCCACCTAAACGACTCTCCAGTGCCTAGACACCCGACCTGTGCATTCAAGTCGCCGGCTAGTACTACAATATCTTTCCTATTTTTAAAGCATGAGTCAATTGAAGCTAGACCACCATGGAAACCTGGAAACACTGGACGGCCGTTTCGTCCTATTATGGGACTCCTCAGCAGTGCGCATCCACGAACCCGCTCTCGCAAGCGAGATTCGAACCCAGGACCTACCAGCTTCGAGCCGAAGCCCTTAACCGATAGACCACTGAGCTGGCATCCAACGGTGTTAATGTCTAACTTCAACTGATCCACGAAGTTGAGCAACCATTCACCAATTGTCTTCAGTGAGTTCCTATCTCACAACAGACGTGGTTTTGAACTCCACTGGTCACTGCTTCTCACTAGAGCTCCTAGTTATACTTCTCGAGTCCAGTGTTTCCAGGTTTTCCATGGTGGTCTAGCTTCAATTGACTCATGCTTTAAAAATAGGAAAAATACTAAATCTCCACAAAACCCCCTCTGATACTACAATATCTGTCGAACGCCCTTTCTGGATAAGAACAGTTAGTTGGTGGTAGAATTCATCCTTGATTGCATCCGGGCTGCAATATGTCAGAGTGTAGGCGGAGATGACAAAAAGACATCGTTCCTTACGCCGATTTCTTCTCACTTTGGTGGAGCTTTCTAATCTAACAACACATAACCGATTGTTAATGGGGATCCGATCGATTAGTGCTGCCTCAGCTCTAGCGCTTAGTGCGACACCAACGCCAGCAAGACCAGACGAAGATGCCACAGGGTCCCCGGATAAATGCACGTGAAACAAGCCTTTTGAAGCGACAGATGGAGAGCGAATCTGTAGTACTTCCCTAGAGTCTTGACTACGGGTTCCAAATAGACAACAAACGTCGATATTAAGACTTTCTAAAGACAGCCAAATTTATCTGTTGTCTGGTCTGCATTAGTGTGCGAACGTTGAAGGAAGCCTGTTTGAATGGTGCACGTGATTTCAGAAAAAATGTTTCAGTATTCGTATTCGGTGGCAGCATTCCATTTTCGACCAGAGTGACTCGAGATCGTTTAGATAGAACAGAATTTTCACCATAAGCGAGCTTCTGTATAGGTTGGAAAGTAAAAGCACGCAAGGTGAAAATGGAAGAGTGTGGATAAGTGACGTACTTAATGTAAGTAACTTGGTTTAATGATAAAAATTCTTACTGTATTAGCATTCATTACTAAATTGATACAATACGTTTATTCGGTTAAATACAACCCCTCCAATGGATTGTTCAACAATGATCCGTAGTGTCGCGATTTGGTTTGTGCACGACCGATACTTACGGAATCCAACCTGTTGATCTTGAAGTTGAATGTCTACTGCGTCTTTCATCCGGTTCAGCAACAATCTATTGAAAAATTTTCCTGGTACTGACAACAAAGTGATGCCTGTGCAATTCTCAGATCTCCTTTCTTTGGTTTCTTGATGAGGTGTGCTTCTTTCCAGTCCGTTGGCATTTGTTCTTACTCCCAAATCTTCTTGAATAGAAGGCGAAGCATGTTTGCAGTTACTTCAATGTTTGACTTCAGTGCTTCAGCTAGTATATAGTAAGGTCCTGCTGCCTTCCCATTCTTGATTTGTCCGATGGCCACTTGATTTCCTCGGTCGTTGGTGGAGTGACAGATATAAGAACGTTTGTGTGTGTTGCTTCGATGTCCGGTGGATTCAATGGAGCTGGTCTATTCAGCAGTTCCTCAAAGTATTCTACCCATCTTATTCTCTGTTCTTGAACCTCCGTGATTGTCCCTGACTGATCTCTCCGGCTTACTACATCTCCCTGCTAGTTTCTTCGTTGTATCATATAGTTGTTTCAAATTCCCTTCTCTTGCAGCTTTTTCTGCCGTCGTCGCTAGTTCTCCCATGTATTTCTGTTTGTCGGCTCTTCATCACTTGCTTCTTTGTTTCTGAGTACTTTGCTTGTGCCTTGACATTCTCTGCTCGTGTTCGACTGTTGCTAATTGATATTTTCTTGTTATTTCTTTCATCCATCTTGTCCATGTTTCCTTAGAGGTTCATTCCTTATTACGGTGCTTCTTTCGACGCAGAACCTACTGGCACCTTGAAGTCAATGTTTCTTTTATCTCTTTCAAGTTGTCATTCATCGCAGTTTCTTCTTTCTGTAGATCCTGAAGCTATGTCAGCTCCTCTCCTTGTTCTCACATCTTCCATTGTCCTACGGAATTTTTCGATTATACAAATGTGATCTATCTGATTCTCTGTGGTGTGGCCCGACGAGATCCATGTAGATTTATGTATGCGTTTGTGGGGGAATATTGTGCCACCTATAACCAATTTGTTGAATGCACATATATTTGCTAATCTCTCCCCATTTTCATTTCTCTCTCCCAGTCCATGTCGTCCAATCATATCTTCATGTCCTGTGTTGTCCACTGTGATTTTAGCATTTAGATCTCCCATTAGGATGGTGAGGTCCCTTCTTGGGCACTTAGCTGTGATTGATTGCAGCCTCCCATAAAACTGATCTTTATCGTCGTCGTTGTTATCATTCGTGGGTACATAACATTGGATAACATCCATTGTGACACCCTCCTTCTTTGTTTTGAACGATGCTTTGATAGTTCTGGATCTGTGAGATTCCCATCCTACAAGTGCATTTCGTGCTTCTCTGGACAGCATTAGAGCAACTCCCTGAGTGTGTGGAGCATTTTCCTCTTCGTGACCAGAGTACAGCAGTATCTCTCGCGTATCTGGCCTTTGCTGTCCACCTTGAGTCCAATGGGTTTCGCTGATTCCAAGTATGCCAATTTGTATCTCCTCATTTCCGTTGCTATTCGATAGGTCTTCCCGGTTTCCCACATTGTGTGGACGTTCCATATACCTATAAAAAATGTTGCTCTGGTTGTTAGAAGGAGCATCGGCCTCGTGACTTCCGAAGAATCTCGGCTTTCATCGTGAGGCGTCATAATTCTTCCTTCAACTTGGAGGACAGAGTTTGAATTATTTTTTCTGGTTAGCGTTTTTTAGCGAGTTAGTTTTTCTACGGGATGGGGTAGCTAACCCCATGCCCAACCCTCCTTTTTTACCCAGACTTGAAACCGGCAGTAACTCTAGAAGAGTAACAGGCGGAGTTCGTGGAAATAGCGTAATTCATTTAATCGGATCAAGACGACAAATATTTGCTAAGAAACTTTTAGTAAAAAGATCAACCACCAGATATGTGCTTTGTTTCAGTTATCAGTAATTATCTTTTTCAACTGCTCGGGGTTGTGTTCAAAGTTCATTTTATATGAAGTTTATGAGACCCAATAAAATTACTCATTATCACAAGATATGTGCACACAAACTACAAAACGAATAGCTATTGCATGTTTTTTATGTCTTTACAAAATGTAAATAATCTCACTTTATTGACGAAACTAGTTAGGTGTAATACAAGAGAACTTGTAAGAGACGGGTCATTGTAAGATTTCTGGCTGTAACACACATTCAGGGAAAAGCTCTACAAAGTTCAGAACCTACCTGTATATCTCGATACTGTCATAAAACTTATTATTAGTTTGACCACTATCGATTATCCACAGAAGAATACAATTTAATTGAAGACTATGAACATTAAAGAGTTACAAGCAATTTTTAGGGTTTTTTTATGTGCTTTTTTGATGAATATTGTTTTATGCAGATCCATGTATTAACAAATGGCTTCCCAAACACCTGCATAGAAATACATTTTAAGTGAAACAGTGTCCGTAAATAGAATAAATCGTCTAAAACTACCAGTTCCACTAAAATTTCGCCGTGAGAATGTGAAAAAGTTTCACTAGTTATTTCACGTACAATAAGTAGCATGACAAAATACATATGATTTACTACTGAGTCTGTTTGGAGAGATTTAATCCGTTATATTGTTCCTATTTACTGTGGATTTAAACTAACCCTCATGTGTTGAGGAGAGGTTGAAATCACCAGCTATAATAAGATATGTTCCACCTGAAAAATAAATAACGATTCATATTAACTTGGAAATACATTGTAAGATAGTTTGTCTGTGAAAAAATACAATGTGTAAGTTATTTAATAATCTTAAGACTCGGAAATGACCGAAATATGTTTGTTCACCTTTCAAAAAGTTAGGATTGTTTCTCTGACATTATGCCAGCTTTTGTTTGTCAAAATGTATTCGTCAGTATTATAGATTCATAGACTTATCGGTTGATATACGTATTGAATATAGAGGTTGAAAATGGACAGCCCCAATTCGTTTGATAAAACGAAATGCATGGGAAATTTTGTAGAACATTGATTACTCATGTCCTTGGATTCTCTTCTTATGTTAAACTATACTTGGTGATTATTTACCTACTTGTATACTAAACGACGAGCGATATTTCTGTCATTACGAAGTTTTACTTAAAGTTATACTGTATTTCTCTTTTCGTTTGATTTCCTTCAGAACTTTTACCTTGAAAAGTTTTATATTTCAGAATGCTAGAGGGTAGTTCACCAATCCCTAACACTTACACGGACGTGACACAGTAATGTGTTTTACACTTATTAATAGTAAGTCGTAATTTTATTTCTATCTACTTATTTGAGAGACAAACTTTTCATTGTGCATTTAACAAATTAATTGATGCACTAACACCTCATTAGTCTAATTATGAATTTGTAATTCTACTTCGTTTTCCATGATAGTACCATACTTTTAAATAAGGCTAGTTCTTTGGTTTCGTGATTTTTGAGTGCAACTCGGTCGTTGAGTTACAATCATTAGACGAATCCAAAACATTATGATGAAGTGAATATTTTTAAGAACTACTGTTTATCGAATAACTTAACTAGTTATCAAGCAAAAACAATTATTTGCTAGTGTTAAACATAACAATGAGCTCCTTTAGTCACATACTACAAATATAGTGAGAAGTTCAAAATCATTGGACTGGATAGTCTTAATAATTTTTACACGTAAATATTTCGAACCGTTCACCCGCAACAATCGTACTAAAATATTTAATCAAATACTGGTATACTTACTAGGTTGTGTTTCATAAAAAGCTTGAACAAGATAGCCGAGAGATTCAATTTCCGAGATAGTCCTACCAATTTGACTATTTCTTAATCCACCTGCTTTCAAATGTACTGAAATGAGAACTAAGTTAACATGTTGAATCTGAAAGTAAATTAAAATAATGCATGTACGCAGCAGTTGATGTCCAGATGGTAGCGTTGTAGATATTTATAGAATAAGTGGCGATTTTCCAACAAATTTCAAGAGTAAGGCTCTATGTCTAATAATCATATCAAAATGAGATATTAACTGTCTTTGATCCTCACTAGCTCATTGATGAACAAAAATAAATTCCACTCTATAACTATACACACACGCATCCTTGGTGTTATATCCTAGCGAAGACATGAGTACGGGTAACTTCCGGGACCTATAATTGGACGATTATTCTATATACATTCTTATTGTTTAACTATTGAGTGATTAGATTATGTATATCTATATTCATCTTATTACAAGCTTCATTTTGACCTATGGAATATTATTAAACGAATTACTGTCCCTAAATTATATTCAGTTTATTGATTATTGTCTCCCACGTTCACAGCCACATTTGGCTTATTATTATTTTTATTATTTTCTGTTTTATGGGTGATACGGTCTGTCTGTCTGGTATATAAACCGAGTGTTCTTGAAATAAATGACTCGCATGTCAGAAGCTGCAATCGGTGTTCTGGACTCGACTGGGAGGGCTAGGCGGACAAGGGACCAATAAGGATGCTAGACTGCTCATATTGGTGGAAGTCATTGGTTTGGCACAGTGTTGAGATTAGACAAGTCGAATTTCGACTGGTGGATAATTCACGTGATAAAAGTCGGGCATAAAATTATAACAAATTGGAATACGGCCCTTTCTTAATTCATAACACTTGGAGATATGAATAACATCTATTTTATAGGGGTTGACGATGTAATCAACTTTCTCGAATATTACGTACATAAAGTTCTCAAGTTTATGACGAAATAGTTTACTCAGTAGTAACTTCGAAAATATGTCAAACATTAAAATAAGTGGTTGAATAGAAGAAAAGTAGATGAAATTACACAGACAAAGGTATAGGATATCACAGACGATAGGTTAGGAAAAACCAGAAATAAAACGCTGGGAAAAATAAGCAATTCAGTACTTGGAAGTGAGCCTATGAAAACAATTAAATAGTTGTATATCATTAAGTCGTATCAGATCAACCAAAATCATGGCACATGGTTTCAGATTAAACTGAACAAAGGAAATACGTTTAAATTAACACCTAATTTTAATCACTTTTTGTTACATACATGGCAGGAGGCTCCACATGGACTGCGTGTAAACGACTTTCTTGAAACAGATAATGAGTTCGAAGACTTTTCCAATAAACTTGTCCGAGAAATCCGAATACCACATCGCGAATTATATAGAAATACGGCATACTCTTTTGCACGGAACATGGAACCGGTTGGTTGGATCGAACATGACGCTTTCCAGTACGGTGGAATAGATAGAGGAAATTTTTCAACCCATCGTTTTATGTGGGGAAGAGATGGATAATTTAGCTCACTGCACAGCTAGAATGATTAGCAATATGTACAGGTATTAATGAGGAAACGAGTTACATAGTTTGATAAAGTACTGCTGGGAAGAATCGCCAGAATAACCAAGTTTTTAAACTAAATATATTATAGAGTTTGAATTACATTAACTGTGATTATATCTCAGCTCGTCACCAATCTGGGCATGGAATTTTAGAATAGTAAGGGTGGATGTTTGAAGATACTATGTAACGTATTTCAAAACCAAACACAACAAACGAACATAACTACCATATATATAAGTTAAAATTGTAATCCTTTAGACACAATTACTCCCATGTCTTATTAATGTACTTATTTTTCCTAATTCCGTCTTACCGTTTTCTGTTTCATGTGGTAGCTTGTTTCGAAATGCAACAACTCTAATCCATGCCTTATATTTCTAAGATCTCAAGAAGATAAATAATTGCATTCCACCACTCTAAAAAACCAGCCAGCTGAAAATAATATTGTACGCTGAATGCTATCTATTTACTGTTCTATAACGTATATGCAACAAAGTTCTCGATCATTTACAGTTTGAACAGATGAAATTTACAGGCTGGTTACCACAGATCAACTCCCAGGAAAATAATGAACACGAAAAGCCGTCGCAGATACATAAATAAGAAATACGCTACTGGTTGCGCGAATAAAAACGAATGGAAGATCAGTGAGCAAAAGTGCAGACAAAAGTTGATAAATAAATCAATAATTACACAAATCACCCCTAATACATAAACGTTAAGGGTATGTTATCTTAGCAACTGCAAACACACACAAAGTAAAAATAACGTGCGCATTTCTGGTTGAATTAAAAACCTTGTTATCACGTGGATTACTGGTCTGAAATGTTACACTGACTAACATAATAAAACATGAAGACAGTAAACCATACAAAGTCAATGACTGTTATTTAAAGGATTTACTATAAAATAAACTTCATGAGTCCAACATAACCTTTAAGATACCTTCCCCAGTAACTATTTGTAAATTCGTCAAAAAGGAAGAGAGCTAATGTAACTTTTTAGTTGTAATAATCCAAAAACATTTATCGAGAGCCAACTTACATAATCAGCAACTGAAGGGTCTGAAACTTCTTGAAGCAGTATTAATGAGACGTTCATTCGTAAAATGGTCAGGCAAACAACTTCCATGAACCCTGGATGTTTAGCTTTACTTAAATTGAAGCGGTTAAGGTTCCAAGATCCGATCCGTATATGCCTTTCTATTGAAGAAATACGTGGAAGTGGTGGGTCAAGTTCATTCAGTAGACCACATGAAGCAATTAAATTGAGCCAATCTCGGATGCCTTCCATTCTCAAAACTAACTGAAGTTGGGAGTGAGAAAAGCCATAATTTTTTTCATCGGTCCTATATTCTGAAAATTGAGAACTATAATTATTTACTGACTGAGGAAGCGATTGCATAGAACAATTCTCCGACTTCCTATGTCCTTTTATAGTATCCGAATATTCATTATTGATCCTAAAAATTGAATTTTTATATCTTTCAATCAGATAAAACATATTTTCACTGTTTTTATTTAAATACTTGAAAAACCAACATATAATTTACTTACTTAATATCATGACTGGGAATACACAATTGTTTGCTCTTTATTATGGTGCTTTTCAGCTTTTCAAGTAAAATGGTACTGTCCGTATATTCACTCGATATCGCCAGATATATTTCCTGAATTACATAGTTCATCTTAAAAAAGAGAAATAAAGTCATTTCTTATTATCAAGCGCAAAAGCTTATCAAGATCTAGTTACAACAGACTTCAAGCTTGTTAAAGAAGCTGGTCTACTGAATATAGGAGAAGTCATAATGAATGAAACACTAGATCACTGACTCTAAACAACTTACACCAAACATGACATTCGGGTTCAAACAGACGCAACCTTAGTTATTTTGTTGAGAGGTTATTCAGTAATGCACTTTGATTTACTTGCACCAATTATTTGGATTCGCAATTTCACAGCTGACGTTTATTTAAAAAAAAGCTTATATTAATAGTCAAAGATTATGACTCAGAACGCTACTACGCCAGGTTAATTTATATTTCATGTTTGCAGATCCTGAGTAAACTTTTGTAAACAAAATTCGATATAGTGAAACCAGTGAACTTACAATTAAGAAATGAATTGCACAATACTTTTGCAGCTTTCTTTCATACCACGACACCACTTCATACACTGACCACATCTCCGCTTTTTCCAACCAGCCCCATTGTCGGCAAATAATGCACGACGAGGAATTCACTGTGACAACATTCGTAGAACATATCCAGGCCACCAAGGTCGATGTTTCAAGGTGGTGACATCAATTGGATTATCGTCTCTGAACCCGAACATACGATGCCGAACCTCAGAATTGCTAACATGGTGTTGCCACTGGATGTCAGCAATCCTTCGGAGACAGCGATGATCAAACACAGAGAGTCGTTTGACATCCTCAATAGACAATCCCAGAGAACAGTCCTGTCCAACGAACCGAAGACAACCTTGATGTCAAGAAACACTGCGATTTTTAGCCTGTGATAAGTATTACGGTGTTTTAACATTCGGCAGAGGGTGAAGATATGATCAATACATCCTCAACCAGAACGAAAACCAGCCTGCTCCCCGCGAGTCAATCTTTCTCTGGTTTTAAACAACCTACGAAGTATGACAGAAGCCAACAGTTTGGATGCAATCAAAAGTAGACTTATCCTCCGATAGTTGTTACAGAAACGACATGAACCCTTTTTAAAGATAAAGACAATTATCGACTCGTTCCATGAAGTTGGAACACTCTTTAGCTCCTAGACCTTTGTAAACAACGTTGTCAGCTCCTTCACCAGATAGTCACCACCATCTTTAAAAACAGCCCGAGGTAAGTCATCTGGACTTAGTGATTTGCAGCCCTTCAAGATTTGGAGTTCCTTGCGGACTTCCACCTCATTTGGTGGATCAGTCGTCACAGGCCATGGAGGGTAGAACAGTCTGATCGATGTTTCCGGGGCATCAGGCCAGTTGAACTGCCCTTCGAAGAACTCTGCCCACCGTCCAAGACATCTGTGGATGTTAGTGATTGGCATCCCGCCATCCTCACAGATTGTTTCACTCGCACCAGTGGCTCGGATGAGTTGAAAGAGCTCCCAGCAGTTACAGGATGCAACTGCTGCTCCCATCTCATTAGCACGCTCCGACCACCAGGCTTCTCGGTCCTTACGCAAGATTTGCCCAATTTCGTTGCGTAACAGCCTTCGTTTGTGGTCGAACTCACAGTCACCCGGAGTAGACCGACAGGCCTCGATGAGTTGTAAGGAGCCTGAAGAAACCCACCGCTTATAAGCGGGACGTTTCGCGAAGCCGCAAGTGGCTTTACTCGCCATTCTCATAGCGTCATGCAGTCGCAACCAATGCTCATCTATACTTTTCGATGGGATGGTAGCTAGCCTAAAATCTAGCTCGGTTCGACACTTAGCTGCAATAAGAGTTGCAACCAATTTACTGACGTCAATTCGTTTATGACGATCAATTCGTTGGCCATTTAAAAGTAAGGTAAGATTGGTGCAGACCAGGGCATGATCGGGGTACTCCAAAAGGAGCGGCAGTCTTGTATACAACCACGCCAGCGGTAGCTGATCGCGATGTAATCAATCTGAGTCCAGGCTTGAGATGCAGAGGGAGGATGGCACATCGACGATGACTGTATCGGAAGTTAGTGCTAGCCAGAAACAGGTTGTAGTCTGTGCACAGTTGCGGTAGACGGTCCCCGTTATCTATCCTGCGACCAACAAGTTCCCATCGGCCACCTAAACGACTCTCTCCAGTGCCTAGACACCCGACCTGTGCATTCAAGTCGCCGGCTAGTACTACAATATCTGTCGAACGCCCTTTCTGGATAAGAACAGTTAGTTGGTGGTAGAATTCATCCTTGATTGCATCCGGGCTGCAATATGTCAGAGTGTAGGCGGAGATGACAAAAAGACATCGTTCCTTACGCCGATTTCTTCTCACTTTGGTGGAGCTTTCTAATCTAACAACACATAACCGATTGTTAATGGGGATCCGATCGATTAGTGCTGCCTCAGCTCTAGCGCTTAGTGCGACACCAACGCCAGCAAGACCAGACGAAGATGCCACAGGGTCCCCGGATAAATGCACGTGAAACAAGCCTTTTGAAGCGACAGATGGAGAGCGAATCTGTAGTACTTCCCTAGAGTCTTGACTACGGGTTCCAAATAGACAACAAACGTCGATATTAAGACTTTCTAAAGACAGCCAAATTTATCTGTTGTCTGGTCTGCATTAGTGTGCGAACGTTGAAGGAAGCCTGTTTGAATGGTGCACGTGATTTCAGAAAAAATGTTTCAGTATTCGTATTCGGTGGCAGCATTCCATTTTCGACCAGAGTGACTCGAGATCGTTTAGATAGAACAGAATTTTCACCATAAGCGAGCTTCTGTATAGGTTGGAAAGTAAAAACACGCAAGGTGAGAATGGAAGAGTGTGGATAAGTGATGTAGTATAAAAAAATATAAATAAAAGTGAATGTTACCAAATGGGTATGGTTTATTTGAATTGTAAAAGGAGTGAGATTAGTATATTCAGTGATCATGGTCATTTCATTTTACTTGTGTGAGGGCTATGATACTACCCAGGTTTCCAGACTGAAGCAGGTGGTTTTCTTAGCGGGCCACACCCGCAGCCGTTGACCTAAAGGTCTGATCCACAAGGCAGTGGAGCATCGTAAGGAGATGCAGTCCCGTGGTAGCCAGTGACCAACAATTGGTTCATACGCCATTTGTTCCCCCAGGATGCTGGAGCTCATGTGTACCATTGGTTTGGAATCAGGGTTTACCACCAACCGGGTTAAAGCACCGGACACTCGCTTTTCGTCCTCTCAATTTCGTTAACAACATCCTCGCCACGAGAAGACAGTGAGTAGGACTTCTGTCGCAGAGGCTGTATACGTGTGACTGTGTGAAGAGCGATTCAAGAGGGAGGGCGGGCCATCCCCACTCTCGGTCGTACCAGGGCAGTTGGGGGCCCGCTTTGAGAAGGCAGTGGTTATATACGTATGGCCATATCGGAGCATTTTGAGAGGGAAATCAGACTCCTTCCATCCTCGATCGTACCAGACGACTTGAGCGAGAAAAATAATCAACTTGCTTCTTTAGATTCACTTATTAGTCAAACACAAAATGGTTCAACCCAAACACTCTGTCCACAGAAACTTTACACGAACAGAAGCATCCATGTTTCCATAACTATCAACCAAACGAGTAAAAAGATGTATAGCAGCAGACTTATTCAATAGGACTGACTATATCTGAATAAATTATACTATTAAAAACAAAGTGAAGCTGACACAAAAAATACTAGTATTAAAAAAACTACAACTAAATTTTCAATATGCAATAATTAATATTAGTATTTTTTAAAATAGTTGAGTGATGATAATATATGACTACTAAATATGATGAAATATAAAGGTATGCCTGATGTTCGCATACTACATGCTCGACACTACCAATCCACCAAACGGAAAGATAAGTGATACGAACGTAAGACTTACGCATAGTAGTTGGTTTTTAACTTAACAAGTCCACGTAGACATAGCATATGAACGTTTTTAGGAAAGTGCTGCTTCAGAGATATTATGGTGAATCATTATATTTCGAATAACTCTAAGAAGCTTTTAAAAGGGTAGGATAAAGTAAATTTAGAATGGTTTCGATTCAACTAGCCCAAACTTAAAAACATCACAAAGTGAGAGATGTTTCCTTTATTTTAAAACTACTACGGTATCAAAGTGAAGAATGAATTTTCATAAGTTCTGGATTCATTGGTTATTTGATGAGATTGTTTGAAAGCAGTAAGAAAAAGGAGAAATTCAAACATTTAGGTGGTTAAATGTCCTATCATTCTCCGGAAAGCATACGCAGTTTTATCGTACGAATAACACTTGTCAACCTCAAATCTGAGTTTAATGACGAACTGTAAGAGTATAATATATATGCCACCTTAAGGATTACTAAGACACATGAAAATCTTTAAGAGTGGTCTATTATCCTACTTGATTCACATTACATTAGTTTTACTTTAGAAGGGTTGATTACTAAAACCTATGTAATATTGAGTACAAAGTGATTTAATAATCGGAATCTTATGAAAGAACTTGAATCTCTAATAATTCGGGATTTTCCGGTGTGTTACTTAATAATTTTAAACATTTGTTTGATATCTCGTGAATTTCGATCAGGCCAGTGCTTTGTTGTAAGTCTCCAAACAGATCACAGGCTTTATGATACTAGTCCCATGTTTTTATCTGTTTAAATTGCAACTCCTCCAACCCTGTAATTAACTCAGATACACGTAATATATCCGGTACATAGATAAGAGAAGTCAATCAGTCATAATCCAAGTAGGATATGGCAAAGATGAGCACTTACCTAAACTGTCACACCATATAAGCTCGGCCTAAAGGCTGAAAGCTGGTATTAATTGTTTGACAACTGATTTTTATATTCATCAGCTGATTAATATAAAACTATGAGTCTTATGTTATCACTATACTCCCTCAGTAAGCTCTTTAAGTAGCATAAAACTTGCAGTCAACGTACGACAGTACGGTAATATACTGAGCACTTGTACCGTGTGTAGGTGCCTTCCGAAACGTTCGAATAAGATCTCAGGAATTCAGTTTGGCTCTAATTTGAGCACAAAAACTTGTACTTGGTAAATCACTGAGACCCACTACTTTAATACAATCAGCTAACCCACAAACATAGGTGGCATATACTGACCAAATGAGAGTGTTTTGAGGTTTATCCTACTAATACCAAAATTCGGAAAGCAGATGAATACTTACCATCCAGGCTGTTAACGGATATCAAACAACCAAAAAATAATGAGTGGGAGCTGTTTTGGTTGTTTGAGTTAGTGGATCAGTAAATCACATTTTCTTCGTTACCATATTTTTTAAATACACTTCCATGGTAACTATGAACAATTTTCTATTATTGCTGATATCTGCCTTCTGCGTAACCCATTTCGTCACTCCCTACTACTCCCTTTCTGACCAAAGTTCTGGCAGTCAAGAAATTACCAGAAGTTAAAGCCTAGATGGAAAGGTCTCGGTTTATTTTTGTGTTAAAGCCACG